CATCATATACCATACATTTTCCTATTTCAGATCCGAACAGTTTGGTGTGTCATGTATATATATATATATATATATATATATATATATATATATATATATATATATATATATATATAAGAATTTCAGCTACTGACTTGCCATGTGGGAAGCGCAATCTCATGATGAAAATGATGACCAATGCTGTGATGAACATCTTTATTTCAAACGTTTCAAAGACAAGTACGTGTCTTCATCTTCTGTGCTACAAAGGAAAGAACAAACACAAACATTAGAGCCGGACAAGGCACAAAAATAAACGATTCAGAAATTATAATAGATATACCAAAAAAACAAACAAAGAAAAATCAACGAAAAAATATATACAAAAGAAAGGACAAGCAAAACACACCATTAATGGTAAAACTGGCAGTTACGGTCACTTGATTATACTGTAAATAGCTGTGTGGTTGTGCAACTGTTAGAAAACAGTTACGCGAGTTGCTCAAAGATTCATTCCCCCAGATACGATTTAATATGGTTTTCACGAATAATTACACCATTAATACTTTTCTTAAAAGAGAGTCGCTTTCCTCAGATCTATGCTCAAACATTATTTATATGTATAATTGCCCTAGCTGTAATACTAGGTATATTGGCTCAACGACACGGTTCGAACACAGAATTCTAGAACATATGGAAAAGTGCATAAGAACTGGCCTCCCTCTCACCAAACCGCCGTTCTCTGCTATTCGCCAACTTTCACACACGGAAGACCATCCCTACACTCACATTGATTTCAAAATTCTGTCTACATCTCCCAACAGACTCGATCTCCTGATTTCTGAATCCTTGTGTATCCATAAAATGAGACCACAGCTCAACGACCATAGGATTTACTATTTACACAGCTATTTACTGTATAATCAAGTGACCGTAACTACCAGTTTTACCATTCATGGTGTGTTTTGCTTGTCCTCTCTTTTGTATATATTCCCATATTTTTTCGTTGATTTTTCTTTGCTTGGCTTGTTAGTATATCTATTATAATTTCTGAACCGCCTTGTCCGGCTCTAATGTTTGTGTTTGTTCTCTCCTCTGTAGCGCTGAAGATGAAGACGCGTACTTGTCTTTGAAACGTTTGAAATAAAGATGTTCATCACAGCATTGGTCATCATTTTTATCACACACACACACACACACACACACACACACACACACACACACACACAACACACACACAGTATATATATATATATATATATATATATAGATATATATATATATATATATATATAGTGTGGTAGTGTATGTGTGTGTGTACAAATACATACATACATATATACATACACACACATACACAGGTACAAAGGAAATTGGAAACCTTTATGAGAATTTAGTTTAAAAATAGTTGTGAAGTATAAGAGTGACGCATTTCCTACAAGATAATCTTTGGAAAGTTTCAATTCGTATCGAAAATTCTCACGACATTTCACCAACATGAGAAAAATGGAAGGAAAACAGTGTGGCGCTTCCTTATGCTGCCGACACGAGGACAGAAGGTAAATGATTGTACTTTGTAGGCCTATGTGGAAAGGGATGAATGAGAACGAATATCTTCACAATACAAGAGATGTATTTAACCGATATAATCGAAACCGGTTAAATATATCTCTTGTATTGTGAAGATATTCGTGCTCATTCAGGCCTTTCCACATTTGTCAACATGAATACGGTTCATTTGTAGGCCTACTTACGAGCGTAAGTGTTTAGATTAGTGTCAGAACCTTTTCTTTATGATCATTTCCATGGCCCAGTTCATCACTGCCTATCATCATTTCAGATTCAGTTATTACTAGTTATGGATGGTGCTACTATAGGACAAGAAAACTATACGGAAAGATTCCAATTTATTATGTGAGAGATAATTATCTGCAAATACTGCAGGTGAGACAAAAACTAGTTTGATTTTCATATTGTTTAATAACTCTTGTTTTAGAACATTCCACATAATTTTCACACTAGAAGCGTGACACATTTTTTCTTTTCTTTTTTGGTGAAGCTCCCCTTTCTCATGGTCCAACTTGTCAGTACTGAAATTGGACCTTAAATATAGTCCTGTTGAATATATTGATAACCAAAATTGATTTAAACGTTGATAAATATATTAACACTTCCTTTCTTTCTACATTAGCATTTTAGAACTTCCATAGGTTCTGTTCTGAAGTTTGAAATACAACTTGAAGATGAATTATATCAGTCTATAGTCTATAGTTTATCAGGTGTCGTCAGGTGGCTCTCGTAGAAAACGAAGGTGAATAAAGCAGGAACTATTTTAAATATCTTAACCGCCAAGATTTTACCCGATGTGTTAACATGATAGCGTTTGCTGTCTCACACTGTTACATATTCATTTTTATATATTTTACACTCACATATATACAAATATATGTGTATAGGTACACTCAAGGACTTGTGTATATACACATTTGCATAGATGTACAGAAGATATATAAATTCAAAAATGATGTGTGTAAGTATATGCATATGCAACTATAATTACACACAAGTATCATTGTGTGTGTATGTATTAGATGTGTGTGTATGTTTGCCAGATGTGTGTGTGTGTCCATACATATATGCACGCACACACATACATACATACATTCTCTCTCTCTCTCTCTCTCTCTCTCTCTCTTTCTCTCTCTCTCTCTCTTCTCTCTCTCTCTCTCTCTCTTTCTCACTCTTCTGTCTCTCGATCTTACCACACACACATGTTGTAAAAAATGTCTGTTTTTTTAGGACATTTGAAGATTATTCATTTTAACGATCTTTAATTTTTTCAATTCTTTCACTTTTGCAGCAGTGTTCGACCATTTGTTTTTTACACAAAAAGTTTTCTTCTTGCACTGGTAGATAAGATGCAAATTGCACATATTTCACACACCCAAACACATGTGTGGAATTCATGATGAACAGATTGCAACAGGAACAACGAAGGGAAGGACAAGAAAAGACACGAATATGCCGAAGGCCTTTTCGCTATTGCTTCGTCAGGGCATACGAAGCAATAGCCAAAAGGCCCTCGGCATATTCGTGTGTTTTCTTGTCCTTCCCTTCGTTGTTCCTGTTGCAACGTAGAAACACTCCCCCCCCCACACGCACAAACACACACACACACACGCATACACATATACAAGCGGATGCACACAAACACACGCATCCACACATGGAAAATCACTCAATAGTAACGAAGAAATTGCATTAGGTCTAAACAGAAAAAAAACATGAACAATAATTCAATTTTATTGATCGCAATAACATTATTTTACAAAGTTACGTAAACGATTTAGTGAGTGAAAGATACTACCAGGAATTGACTGTTTTAACATTTATTCCTTCCTTCCCTTTCGTTAATATTATTCTGGCGATTCCAAATTATCCCTATTCCGTTTATTCCATGTCATTCCTGTTTGGGTGATTCCAAATGATTCCCATTCTATCGATTCCAAATAATCCCTATTTTGTTGGTAATAAAAGAATTATAAACAAATTATCGATCCAATATAGCTTAATAAAAAATAGATAAAGAAAGAAAGAATTTAATTAATCCAACACACCTAGCATGCGATTATCACATAAGTAATTAGCGAATAATTAATCTAATAGAGCTCAATAGATGATGATAAATGAACAAATAATGCACCAAAACAAATGATAATAAAAAAATTATTGAATAATCAAACGAGCTTAACAAATGAAATGATAATGATAATGATAATAAAAATAACAATAATGATACTAATAAATCAAATAAACAGATAAATAAATGAAAAATAAGTAAACAAATGATGAATGGATTGATAAATAAATGATAAATAGATAAATCAATAAATGATGAATAGATAAATAAAAAATAAATAAAAAAATCTAACGTCGCCTAAAGAACGTGACGTTTCGCCCCAAGAAACGTCTTTAAAAAACGTCTTTAAGGAGCGTACGTGAAGACAAACAGCTGATTGACCGCGTACCCGGCCACGATGACCTCCTCGTAGCCGTCTCCGTCCAGGTCACCGTGGGCCATTTTACCTGGGGGGGGAGGAGGGGGAGAGAGATTTGATTTGATAAAATTTATTTACAGAACAGTGTACATGCCCTGTAAAAAAAGCCAGGGTAAGATGTTATAGCATTTATCTAGTAAAAAAAACAAAATAAATAAATAAATAAATAAAACAAAAAAAAAGAAAAAGAAAAAACAATGTAAGATGTTACAGCATCTATCCAAACTGGCCATACTTATTTATGTCAAGGGCTATTAGTCAAACATTAGTAATCCATGCCTGAAGGGCTATGGAGGAGAGAGAAATGGAAAGGAAATGGAAAGGAAGGGGTAGGGAAAAGGGAAAAGGGGAGGGAATGGGGATAGGGGAAGGGGTAGGGAAAGGGGAGGGGGAAGGGAAAGGAAAAGGAAAAAGGTTAAGAATTATTTTCTTTCTCTTGGGTCAGAATATTCAAACTTATAAAGATAAATCGATAGACAGTAAATAAACATATTTATCTGATCAGATGAGAGACACGCAAGTAAAAAGACATCCTTTATAAACAGATAAATAGATAAAACGACAGATAGCAAGGGAGATGGACATAGATCAATATATTGAAATATATAGGTAGACAGCTGGATAGTTAGATAGATAAATTCTTATAATAGATAGATAAATACACAAATGGAAGATAGACATATAGATGTGCAAATAGACAGAGCGACAGATGAATGGATAGCAAGATACAAAGTCAAATAGACAAATAGATACATAAGAAGATGAAATAGATAGATACATGAAGAGTTAGATATATAGACATATAATGAGATAGATCAATAAACAGACAGGCATATGTATAAATAAATAAACATAGAAATATAGACGACTGATTGATTGATAGATAAACAGACTTACTTATAAAGTGATATAAAGACGTAATATATAGACATATAAACAAGCAGACACAAAGTGATATAGAGT